AGAGAAAGTATAAGATGAACTTGGAACATATTATTGTGCCAGAAAGTAAAGAAGTGCTGAAAGAATGATGGGAACATATTTCAAAGGACACAGAGTCAGTTTGCAAGGATTCCTACTAGGGCAATTTGAGCATCAAAATAAATAATGATAGTAATAGATGATAGTCACCTGAATAAAATGAAAATCCATGAGTGTAAACTGATATAAATAAGTGAAATAATAAATGGGTAGAAAAGAAAGCTTTTTGATGCAATAATTTGCTGAATGATGGAAAAATTACCATTTGAGAATCATCATAGTAATATTTAATTCAGCTAAGGAACATCAAAAGATGCTAACATTAGTCTGGGCACAGTGGCTAACACCTGTAGTCCCACCACTTTGGGAGGCTGAAGTGGGAGGACCACTTGAGGCCAAGAGTTTGAGATCAACCTGGGCAACATAAAGAGACCCCATCCCCATCCCTACCAAAAAAAAAAAATGCTGAGTAGTCCCAGCTATTCAGGAGGCTGAGGCAGGAGGATTGCTTGAGCCCAGGATGTGGAACCTGCAATGAGCTACGATTGTGCTGCCCACTGTACTCCATCCACCCTGGGTGACACAGTGAGACTCCCATCTCAATCAAAAAGAGAAAATTCAAAAAAAAAGGAGGATGCTAATACTAAGTTTAAAGTACTTATCCTCAAAGTACTTATTTGTTACAAAGGGAGAAAGAGTGTCTTTGTAGTAGAGAAATCTGACAGATGACACCTTAGTCAAGGGGTCTAAATTAACATTATCGATAATGGGGCAAACTGAAATTATGTGTTACTTGATAGGCTGAAATAAGAACACAGCATTACTTTTGTGATATTCCTGCCAAAGGTGCATAACCTGAATATAATTTATTGATTAAATTCACATGAGGAAACAGAAGATAAACCCAAACAGAGGGGCTGTTCTGCATCATTATAGGCATTATACCTTCAGAAATGTCAAGAACATGAATGTTAAAGAACAGCTTTAATATTGTTCCAGTTTGAGGAAGAATAAAGAGGTATGCCAACTAAATGCAATTCTTCATTAATAGGCATAATTGCATTATCTGTAAGAACAGTGATGGTGTTGGCAGTCAGAATTTTAAAGAGCCTACACAATCAATGGGGAACATGTCATGTAAGGGGATTTTCTGGTAAGTCCAAACAATTATTGAGACAATTGGGAAAATCTGAATGGATTTTTTTAGACCAGGTAGAGATAGTAATGTATGAGTGTTAATTTCCTGATCTTGATAGTTGTATTGTAATTATTTTAAGAATATTGTCTTTGTAGGACGTACACTAGAGTAATAAACTAGTCAGCAATTTACTATAAAGTGATTCAAGGAAAAAATTCTTTTTTTTCATTCTTGCAGCCTTATGTAAATTTAAAATTATTTCAGAGTAAAGACAGAAGTTAAGGACTGCCTAACAAATTATAGCTAATGCAATGGATATTGGCTTTTCTGTTAGCCTATTGACAGGAGAGTGAAACAACCAAAATTTTGGGGGGTTTTCAAAACACCTCTGCCCCCAACATGACTTATTCTCTCTGATTGTGTTCTCTATTGATTGTGTAGGCTCTTTAAAATTCTGATTGCTGACATCTTTGTTCCGTGTAATAAGCAGATTAAGCCCCTTGATTAACAAATACGGAGTGCCTAGCATGTCCTATTCCTTTATTGCTACAGAAAGAATATACAAGACCAAATTCCTGATCTCAAAGACTTCATAGTAAAGTTGGAAGATAGGTATAATTTGGGAAAGAGTATGGAGGAAAAAAGTTAATTCCCGTTAGAAGCAAAGATATGGAGTCAGTAATGAACGTGGCCATATGTACTTAAGACTGAGGAGCTGATTAGAATGGAAGGTCTGTTGACTCGGTAGTCTGGAACCAATTTCTGGAAGGTCTTGAAAGTTAGATGAAGTTGAACTGCATGTGATAGACAATGGGAAGCTTTCCATTTTTTAACGGGAGAGTGACTTGAATGTGATACATTGAGGAAAATGAAGAAAAACATTGAAACATAGGGTGAATTGAAGGGAAGAAAGTTCTGACAGCGGGGCAGATCAGCTGGAGGCTGTTGGATTTTAGTAGATGTCAGTTGAGAATCTGGTTAGGGTGAAGATAGCAGGGATGAAGAAGAATAAAGCCAGAGACACTTTGGAAGGAAGAAACACCTGAAGTTGGTGGTTGATTAAGTTGGGGATAAAACCAAAGTTCACAGTCATTTATCACTGTAAAATCTCTAGCCTTGGAAATTATAAGTAGGGTATTGGAAGGGAGGGCTTTCTGATGATAGGACAGAAGTGAATTTTTTTAGGCCGGGTGCAGTGGCTCATGCCTATAATCTAGCACTTTGGGAGGCTGAGGTGGTGGATTGCTTGAGCTCAGGAGTTCAAGACCAGCCTGGGCAACATGGTGGAACCCCATCTCTACTAAAATACAAACAATTGGCCGGGCTTGGTGGCGTGTGCCTGTGATCCCAGCTACTCAGGAGGCTGAGGCAGAAGAATTGCTAGAACCCAGGAGGCAGAAGTTGCAGTGAGTCGTGATCGGGCCACTGCGCTCTCCAGCCTGGGCAATATAACGAGACTCCGTCTCAAACAAAAAAAAAAGAGTGAATTTTTTAGGAGCGTCTGCTGCCATGGCAGTTTTGGAGATGTCCAAATGGACATTGCCTGTCTTATGTGTTACAAACATGAGATTATTAGTTCTAAGAGGAATTAGAGTTGGGTTAGGGGATTTTCACATTATAAACCAACACAAACTCTCTCTACAACCATTGAAAAGGGCTAACAATTTATATCTCTAAGGGTCAGAGAATAGTTTAGATTTCTGTTGTTGATGGGCTTAAAAAAACTTTATGTTCATAAAAAGGCTACTTCATTTCATTATACATCTGTTATGTTTTCACTATTTTGGCATGTAAGACCCTAGAGAAGAAAATATATTACTTTCTGTCACTGAAAGTTTAACATCCAAGAGGGATTTTTATGTGCAGAAAGAACTGGTTACAGTGACTTGAAATACAGATTAATATTCAGTTCTTTAGTTTCAAATATAAAACATAATTTTTTCCTAATTCTTTAAATTCAGTTTTAAAATTCTATTAAACTATGCATCTAGTAAAATAATAATCTCCTTTGTTTTTACCGTCTTTGGATTAATTGAAGTTGAACTCTTCTGAAACAATTCCATTTACAAACATAGCCAAATTCTCTTAAATATTTTCAATTGTATTTATACATTTTGTGTGTTCAATTTTATTTTGAAGTATTTATATGGTAAGTTTATGATTCTAAGAAGTAATTTTTTTAACCTGAAATCACAAATCTAAATCAATTATGCATTGTACCTAGAATCCTAAACCTAATTTTTTAAAACCTCTGTTAGCCAGATTATCTTATACATTACAAACTCTAACCAACAGAATGTATGGAATATACCAATGTTTTCAGAACTTTTAAAAGTTGACACATTCACTTATTTATACTCTGGGTTTAACTTCCTTTATCATATCTAAATTTAACTACATTTTTCTGGGATCTAAAAGACATTTTTAGGAGAAGCAAATTTAACAAGCTGCAGTTACTGGGTTGGCAATTCAATATAGTTATGTGGTTCCTTATCTGAGGGTTCACACTTCCAGGTGATTTTTCCTGAGCCATAGATGGACATATTTAGTTAAACATTTTGTGTCAGTAGAGGTCCCAAAGCCACTCACTTACCTTACTTTTTCTCTTGATTTGGGTATGTAAAGGATTGCATCTTCAGTAAGATTGCAACCAGTTTGCTTCAGCTCACTCCTTTGCTGCCTAATTGAATTTTGCATCTCTCAGATGACTTTTCAGTGTCTTTTTGCCTTTTGGCACGTAAAGACATTTTAAAGTCCTCACATTGTATTCTGAGTTTCTCTCATGTTCCAGTTCTCTATGCTTTATATCATGCCAATAATCTTTTAAATTTTGAGCAGTGGTATCTTGTGCAGATGTATATGCATTAAAAGTACATGTATTCAACAATTACTTATGTAGTACCTCTTATGTGCAAGGCACTGTTTTAAACACCAGGATACAGCAGTGAACAGAGCAGATTGAGTTCCTCCCCTCATGAAATGTTTAGTTTTAGAGACTGGTAATAAGTATATAAACAAAGAGGTATATTATGTTATAGGAGAACAAGTCTATAGAAGAAGAATTAAGCAGGGTAAAAACTAGAGACTGATAGGGCTTGCTATTTTAATTAGGCCTCTCTGAGGGAGTGATCTTTGAAGACAAATATAAATGAAATGAGGATACAGGCCAAGCAGTATTTAGGAGAAGAACATTTCAGGTAGAGGAATCTTGAAGTACAAAAGCCTTGAGGCACAAGCAGGCTTGACTGAATTGGCCTCCTAGGAAGGGAGCCACTGTGGCTGTAGTACAGTGAGTGAAGGAGAAAAGACTGGCTTTTTCTCTAAGAATTATGAAACTTTGAGCAGCATGACCTATCTTAAAAGAATCAGTGTACTCTGCCTTGAACTGTGGAGAATAGACTTTTCATTTGCATAGGAGGGCACAAGTGGAAGCAGGGAGGCTAGTAGGTGCTGTGTGGTAGTTGAGGTGAAAATATGATAAGGCTTGGACAAGGGTGGTGATGAGAACTAGTTGGATTCAGATAGATTCAAGATAGAATCAACAGGCTCTGCTGAGGAGTCAAGGTTTCTGGCTTTCATAACTGGGGGAATAAAAGTGCCATTTACTGAGATGAGGGACATGGGGAGGAACAGTTTGGGGATGGGAGAAGTTAAGTGTTAGACCTGGTTAAGTTTGAGATGCTTATTTGATAGCTAAGTAGAGATGTTGAGTAAATAGTTGGATATGTGAATCTGGATTTCTGTGAAAGTTTGGAGCTTAAGTTAAAATTTGGGGTATGACCTATTTCTTATTTTCAGAAGAAACTCAACACCATAATTAATACAGAGTTAACTTTTATTACAGGAAAAACCGTATGGCATAGTTGAAACGAAGGCCGGAATATTCCCTGTAAGTCTTAAAACTTCTGATTTTTCTTTTGTTTATTGTTTTTCTCTCTCCTTTTCCTCCCCTTCCAAGCAATTATTAGATTAAAATGTTCTTTCCTTCTCACTTTCAGTTTAAGTCCCTGTTTTGTGTATTCTTGTTAAAAAAAAAAAAAAAAGGAAGAAATAACGTAAGGTAACAATTACAGTTCAAATGGGAAGTGAGCACATTTATTTTCAACCTGCCTGTAAAACGTGTTTTGTGACCTTGATTGTCCTAAAGGGAGTTGAAAGTACCAAAAGTTTTTCACTGTGTCCTGTTTCATGTTGGGTAAAGAGCTTAGGGCACAAGCCTAAGCAAACATCCATGCATGGTGACAGCAACTGAATTTCTGTTATTAATTCAAAACTCTCATGTCCTATGGCTTTGTACTTCATTTTCAAGATTTGACCTTAAGTTCTCCATCTGTGAATTTAATATCCACTAGTGAGTGTTTTAAATTTTATACTATGGGCTGGGCACAGTGGCTCACGCCTATAATCCCAGCACTTTGGGAGTCCGAGGCGGGTGGATCATGAGGTCAAGAGATTGAGACCATCCTGGCTAACACGGTGAAACACCATCTCTACTAAAAATACAAAAAATTAGCTGGGCATGGTGGTGGGTGCCTGTAGTCCCAGCTGCTCGGGAGGCTGAGGCAGGAGAATGGTGTGAACCTGGGAGGCGGAGCTTATAGTGATCCGAGATCACGCCACTGCACTCCAGCCTGGGCGACAGAGCGAGACTCTGTCTCAAAAAAAAAAAAAAATTTTTTTTATACTATGAATGTGTGAGCTATAGTACTAATTTGAAATGAGTTATTTTAGCATTAAAAGATGACTCAGTAGTTGGTATTTTTACTAGCCGTTTGTGAGGTTATTATTTAGCATAGTAGAATACATACTATGTTCTTGTCTATTTCTAGTCACAGATGATGAATGAACTATGATAACTCAAAATTCCTTAATTTAAATAACAAAACTTAGTGTGATTCTTGCTTTAATCAAATGACTTAGTCACAGTAATCATTACCTTTTGCAACAAGGGAATTTTAGGAAGGGCCACCAAAACTGGCCAACTGTCCCAGTTGGAACGCTGCTTTAGAAAATAGTTGGGGGAGTGGCCGGGCACAGTGGCTCATGCCTGTAATCCCAGCACTTTGGGAGGCCGAGGTGGGTGAATCACGAGGTCAGGAGTTCAAGACCAGCCTGGCCAACATGGTGAAACCCCATCTCTATTAAAAATACAAAAATTACCGTGCGTGGTGGCGGGTGTCTGTAATCACAGCTACTGGGGAGGCTGAGGCAGGAGAATTACTTGCAACTGGAAGGCGGAGGTTGCAGTGAGCCGAGATCGTGCCACTGCACTCCAGCCTGGGAAACAAGAGTGAAACTCCATCACAAAAAAAAAAAAAAAAAAAAGTAGGGGGGTATCAGGGGCTCACCTGTAATTACAGCACTATGGGAAGCCAAGGTGGGTGGATCCCTTGAGGCTAGGAGTTCAAGACCAGCCTGGCCAACATGGTGAAACACCATCTCTACTAAAAAAAAAAAAATACAAAAATAAACCAGGTGTGGTGGTGCACGCCTGTAATCCCAGCTATCTGGAGGCTGAGGCACAAGAATTGCTTGAACCTGGAAGGTGGAAGTTGCAGTGTGCGGAGATTGTGCCACTACGCTCCAGCCTGGGTCACAGAATGAGACTCTGTCTCAGGGGGAAAAAAAAAAAGAAGTAGGGGCCGGGCATGGTGGCTCACACCTATAATCCCAGCACTTTGAGAGGCAGAGACAGGTGGGTCACCTGAGGTCAGGATTTTGAGACCAGCCTGGCCAACATGGTAAAACTCCATCTCTACTATTAATAAAAATACAAAAATTAGCTGGGCATGGTGGTGCATGCCTGTAATCCTAGCTACTGGGGAGGCTGAGGCACAAGAATCGCCTGAACCTGGGAGGCACAGGTTGCAGTGAGCCAAGATTGTGCCACTGCACTCCAGCCTGAGCAACAGAGCACCCTGCCTCAAAAAAAAAAAAAAAAAGTAGGGGATTTCTCCTTTTGTTTTATTGTGTAACATTGATGTGTGTTATAGCCTAGATAGTCTCAAAATAGGAAATTATCTTGCTGGTTTTACCAGTTGGGCAATTTATATTTATTTAGTCTTCCATTTATTCCATTTAAATGTTAATTTATTTTGCCATTACTGTTCAAAGGAAAAGGAGAGCTCTATTCAGAAGATCATATCAGGGATCCTGTAGCATTTCTCATATTTCTGTATTTTTTGCCACTGTGGTTCTTTCCTGTTTCTGTGCCATGACCCCTTTGAGGAACTGAAGAATGCTCATTGTATGTATGTTTAGAATAGGACAAGTAATAACAAACTTCCAAATCCCAGTGGCTTAACAAAACAGAGGTTTATTTCTTGTTGACATCACAGAATACTATGGATCAGGTGCTCCTCCTCAATCTTATAGCCGTGCCTCTCGAATATGAGGTTCCAAGATCGTGATAGAGAGGGCAGGAGGTCTCAGGGGATGATTTTTAGGGTCTAAGCTTACAAGTAGCTCACATCACTTCTGCTCAAATTCTGTTAGCTAAAACTCACTGTCATCTTCCCAAATATTATCTGTGTGCTCTTTGCTATTTCCCAGGCCCCTGTTCATGGAGTTTCTGCTACATTCCATATTTCTAGTCACCAAACAGCTCTTTGCTTCTTTCTTTACCCATGCATAACACACTTAGTCCCTCTCCTTAGGGAGAAATCCCCAAGTCCCATTCCATCACTGCACCCGGCCTTAAATCCATGATCTCCAGATGATGTACATAGTATGTCAGGTTTAGACACGACTTCTGTTGATCTGAGGATCAGTGAACTAAGAGAGGTTAACTATATCCTTGTTCCCCTACCACACCCATTGTTCAGTGGTATAATTTGGATAGCATAGTAGTCACTGATTCTTGGCAATTCTGAAATCTCACTCGTAACCCCTGTGTGTGAGAAATTACTTGAGTGGGCACTGATTTTGTTTTCTTGAAAGAACACCTTTGTCCATAGTTCTTCCTGGTTCCTGGCTCTGTCCAGGGGGTTTGTTCTTTTCATTATCTACCTAGACCACATCTAAGTGGTATTGGGAAGCATGCCCTCCTTAGGTGCCGTAAGGGCTTCAAAATCTGCCACCTGCTTGCAGGAGGTTGAATGCCAGAGGTGGTTTTAATTTCAGACATTCTGGCAGGATTTTGTAAACTATATGTTTGGTTTCTTTGTCCATCCATTTCCCTTAACATTTGGAAGCATGAAAAGAAAAATATTTGGTAGGCATCTAATGTGTTTACTTCTAGTCAGTTTCTCATGCCAGTATCTGTTTTTCCTATACATAGTTACCAGCTTCTCTCATTTCTTTGTCCTTATGCATCTGCCTCTCTCACCTCATTGGCAGCTATGTGGAGGCCATCTGAGGCAGACTGGTTCAAAGGCTACCTTCATTTTAAACTGATCTTTGCCATAGTGCTGTGTCCCTCTGTTTGAATTTTATTGGGCTTCTGTTGCTTAGATCTTTTGTGTTAACTTACTGTTCAGGAATTCTGAAGTGGTCTGATTTTCCAATATCACAAGGTCCTGATTTTTTATTTATTTTTAAGATAGAGGGTCCCACTCTTACCCAGCCTGGTTTTGAACTCTGGGCCTCAAGCATGCCTCCTGCCTTGGACTCTCAAAGTGCTGGGATTACAGGCATGAGCCACCATGACTGGCCCGAATTTTTAGATTCTATTAACTTTTTTTTTTTTTTTTTTTTTTGGTCAGGAACAGAAAGTCTCTAGCGTGGGCCAAAGGTGTTCTCTCTTCCTCTCTATTTTTGTCTCCTCTCAAATCAGCCACTTTTTGCCTGAGCAAAAGTACATGCTTCTTAAAGTACATTCCCAAGGCAGCCAATAGGATCCAAACACATACTATAAACTTTTTTTTTCTAGCTACTACTTTTAGAACCTCAAGTTCATTAGGCAGTCTGCTTCCAAGTTATAGGACATATTTTGCTAAATAGTTTGCCACTGCCTTTTGTTTCCATTTTTATCTTTGCTACCAGACTGCTAAGCCAGTGCCCTATAGCTTGATTTTTATTACAGCAGCATTAGTGCCACTTCAAGGCACTGATTTCTGTTGGGATAATGCTGGCTATGAAAACAAATTGTTGCCCAAATGTATAATGGCTTAAACATAATATATTTTTTCATTGGATTATAATCCTGAGCAGTACCAGTCAGGGAATGGCAGGAATTGGGGTGGGGATGGGGACAATTCTACTCTTCCCAGTCATTCAGGGACTGGCAGGCTAACAGAATCTGTTATCTTAAACACATGGCTGAAACTGAAATTGAATAATCTTAAAACTATACAGCTTGTCAGTGGAGGTCCCAAGATTCTTACCACTTGGTTCTGGCTTCAAAGCCCATGCCTTTTTGCCCACACACTATATCAAGAATTGAAGAGACACCTGGACCAGTTACCTAGCCAAAGTTTGTATTCTGTATTCAATATGTAAGCCAATCAGAAAACTGGTGATTGCTTAACACATTCAGTTGCTGGGGGTACATTACCTCCTTATCTGCAACTGCAGATGTTTCCTTGCAACTTCTTTCTGGGGCCTCCATTTATTGGGGCCATACAAAATAAAAGATTATCCCTTTATCCCTTAGAGAACACAATTTTCGTGCCCTTTTCGATTATTTCGTTTCTGAGTGAAAATTTCCCTATTATTTCAGTGTACCTGAAGATTTTGAATACTGATTGTTCAGATTTAGACAGCTTCTACTTTGTCTAGGGTCCTTTTAAAGGGAATGCCAGAACTCAAGTACATTTTCCATGTGAGATGTGATAAACATGGAACAGAATAGAACTATCACCTCTGTAGACTTAAGATTTTTCTCCTAACTATCTTTGTGTTCCTAGGGTGATACAATTCTGGAGACTGGAGAAGTAATTCCACCGATGAAAGAATTTCCTGATCAACATCATTAAAGATTATGTAAAAACTTAAAAGGCTTATGAGCCTAAATTTGTTCCTATATTACTGTATTTACTGAATTTTCCGGAAAAGTAACTTTAATAAAGTTTAATCTCAGAAATTGTCATATTTCTTTTCCAGCATTGTACAATTTGAGACTCTTTGAGTAATTTAATAATAAGTAAAAAGTGGACATGCTAAAAAAAAATATGAGAGACCACCTACTGTTTCTGGTCATTCTTGACTTGGAAAACAGGGTATGGAAAAGTATTCAGTTACGTACTAGTTTGTTTGGTTTTTTTTCCTTATACAATACTTTAATTTGGTATCAGGGTATGCAACAGTGAATTTTCGCAATAAACAAATATAAGAACAGAAATTCCATGCACTTTTGTTTTAAGGAAATCTTTCCGGCTGGGCATGGTGGCTCACGCCTGTAATCCTAGCACTTTGGGAGGCCAAGGCGGGCAGATCACGAGGTCAGGAGATCAAGACCATCCTGGCAAACACAGTGAAACCCCGTCTCTACTAAAAATACAAAAAAATTAGCCGGGCATGGTGGCGGGCACCTGTAGTCCCAGCTACTCGGGAGGCTGAGGCAGGAGAATGGTGTGAACCCAGAAGGCAGAGCTTGCAGTGAGCTGAGATAGAGCCACTGACTGCACTCCAGCCTGGGCGACAGAGCAAGACACTGTCCCTACCCACCCCCCCCCAAAAATAAAAAGGAATCTTTCCGAGTCATTTTTAAAGAATTTAGAAACTTCATTGAAAAGCTTATTTGCTGTTTTGTCATGAGAATGTAAAATACTAAAATTTCTAAGTTAAAAATTTGCATATTAGTGCTTGTTACAAAAGATAATGCAAAAATAAACTTGGGAACTTTGCATTATGAATTTTATTTTTAAATCTACATAAGCATGAGGGAAAGAACTGTATTTTCAAAGAATTAAATACAGAGGAGTTACAAATTTTCATTCGTCCCAAAGATTTTGTCTGTGTATTTCTTCCTTAGCTGTCGTCTTGCAGACACCATTGAAGCATAGATGATGCAGCCCCAGTTGATTAAAACGATGGCAAGCAGCAACTAAACCAAAAACTGCAAAAGAGGTGTGAAATGTGCCTGATATTTCTGCAAATTTGCATACTAGTGCTTGTTATAAAGGATAATGCAAAAATAAACTTGGGAACTTTGCATTATGAATTTTACTTTTAAATCTACCTAAGCATGAGGGAAAGAACTATTTTCAGAGAAGTAAATCCAGAGGAGTTACAAATTTTCATTCGTCCCAAAGATTTTGTCTGGGTATTTCTTCCTTAGCTGTCGTCTTGCAGACACCATTGAAGCATAGATGATGCAGCCCCAGGAGATTAAAACGATGACAAGCAGCAACTAAACCAAAAACCAAAAGAGGTGTGAAATGTGCCTGGTATTTCCCCCCGCCGTCAGGTTACCGTGTGCCATTGCTAAGGTGGGAATTAAAGTAACAAAGTCGAATAAATGGGGTTCCAGTGGCGGGTACACCCAGCTGCCCTTACGTAAGAAGCGGAAGATCGTATCCTCCAGGAAGAGGCGGAGTCGAGGTGAGGGAGTGAAATGCTTAATTCAGGAATGGATTTTGGAGTTTCTGGGTGCTGAAGAAGTAGAGCCTTTCTGCCTGCAGGCCCAGTGAGTCGACACGGTGGGGGCCCGCGAGCCCCGGGACTTACCACAGAATAAATCCAGTCCAGCGTGCGACGACTCACTGGCTTCATGGTAAGGAGGCGGCAGCGGTTCGCGGGAGCTGGCGGGAGTTGCGGGCCTTACAGTAACCTCCCAGGCGGTGGCTGCCCGGCGGCAGCAGCCATCTTTTAGCCGGGCACGAGCGGCCGCCCACTCGCTTCGTGCAGAGGTGTTGCCGGCCTCTTCCGCCCGGAGTTGGTGGGGGGGGGGGGCGGGATCACGTGATCGGGGGCCTTGCCCGCCTTTTAGAGGGGAATAAACGAGAAAATGTTAAAAATTGCCTTTTTTTTTTTTTCCTTTTTTTGCCAACTAGAGAGATAGGAGATGGGCGTACCTCCACAGGTTTTCTTTATAGTTGCAATGCAGTATTAACGCAGGATGAGGTGCTGTCGTGTCCATTGAAAAGTTTATTTGAAAAACAATCCACGTTTTAAATATTACGTCGGGGTCTAAAGCTGGAAGAATTAATGCTTTCTCCCCCGGCTTCCCTACGCCTCTCCGCATCTGATACCACACGATTTAGATGAACGTTCGCCTGTTCATCTTTGACGTAAAAATACCACCCACTCTTTTGTATGTGACAGATCGTTGTGGGAACCCCTGTAAATCGAGCCGTTCTTCACAAATGTATAGCATGATGTATATCTCTAAGAAGAAATATGTGGGATGCGTTACCCGCCATAATGTACCAGTCAAGCAACAAGTGTTTTCTGAGCGTGTCTGAGGTTCTTGAACGGCCGCGCATGAGATACTGAGCCCCGAGCACGGCAGTTTGGCTGGCAAGCGTACCAGGTTCAGCTCTAGAATGTTTGGGACGCTCACATTTGAGGCCTGAGGAGTAGAATCTGGCAACGGGCCGCTTTAGGCTCTAGACGTTCTTTATACCTCGCAGTTATCTTAAAAGAGTTTTAGTCTAGATTTCAGGGAGTGGGAAGGGGAAGAGCGGAGAAAAACGTGGTCTGTTTAGGGAAGAGTCCAGGCCCTGTTTTGTTAGGTTGTCCTGTTTCTCCCCAGCCTGGAGGGGATCCCTCTCTGAAGATTTTATAGGATACTGGTTGGGCTCTGGTTTTGGATCCCGTTGGACTCCCGGTGTTGCTTCCGGGACTTCAACTCCGTGTAACAGTTCCCTTATCTAGACACTAGAGACAATTTCGTAAGTTCCCGCAGAGTTTGGTGAGGTTGAAACGACATCGAACTAGTTGTCGTGTTTTCCGGGTAAGTTAGGGGCGAACATTCAGTCAGTGTCCCCAGCGGCTGAGTACCAGTAACAAGATGGGGAGGGTCGCACTGCCCTCATCCCGGGTCTGGAGCTGCGGGGGAGGGGCCGCGTTTCGGCAGGCGCGCTGAGCCCCGCCCTCGGGGCCGGCGCCCATCTCCTGCGCATGCGTGGCGAAGGCGGGTGTTGTGTTTTGACGCGCCGGGAGCTGGTGGGTGGGTCTCACTCTCTGCCCTGCTTCCGAGCTGCCATTGGTGATGAGCGCTTTGCGTCACAGGGGTCGCAGCCGCCGCTGGGGTCTCCGCTGTCTCGCGAGGAGGGTGAAGCGCCCCCGCCTGCTCCCGCTTCGGAGGGTAGGCGGAGAAGTCGCCGGGTACGCCTTCGCGGATCCTGCCGTCACCGACCTAGCTTTCTGGGCTGCCGGGAGCTCGTGGCGAGCGCCCCAGCCAGGCCTGCGCCGGCATCCTCCGAGGTGAGTGAGATTCGGAACAATGGGACGTGGGGGTCGGAAGGGTCGGATGAGCTGACGCTCCCGCCTGGAGCGGCGCCTCGGGACCCGAGGGCTGCGGGTTTGGCCTGCGGGGCCGTCCGGGCCTCAGCGGGCCAGGGCCAGGGCCCCCGGGCGGCTTCTGCGCGCACCTGTGGATTGGTGCGGGCGGGCGAGGGTTGCGCTTCCCACAAGCGCTCCCGAGGGGCGCGAGCCTGCCCGTGTACTGGAAAGAGCTTGGTCTCAGGGAAAAACGAAAAAGCAATGAAACTGAATCGTGGCGTCACCCTTACAGGATATGTGACCTTGCCTAGGTCCCCTAAGCCCCTGAGCCTGTCTGTAAAATGGGAATAACAATATTTAAGTTCATTGTAGTTATGTAATGCTCATGGTGCCTATCTTAGGTCTGTCTAGTGGCAGTTCTGAACCAAAGCAAACGACTATCACCGTGGCTTTTGGACTCGTCTGTGCTGTGTTAAACATTCTGAGCAGAAATTGCCCGTGACTTGTTCATGCATCCAGTTACTGCAGCTTTCCTCATGGGTTGCTGATTGTAGGCTGGAAGGGGGCAGTGCTGAGATGAGCCACATAGTGATTCAAGAGGAAAACGGAGTAGACCTTTTGATAGGTAATTTTCAAGATTATTTAAGATAAATTAAGAAACAGCTGCCCGAGATTTTAGTAGTGGTGAGAACTTTCTGGGTTTTGTCCATGAAATGCAAAGAAAGCTATACAATCAGCTAAAATCAATCATGCTTGTCTGGAATGAGTGGTTTTAGAGGGGAACGGTTCCCAACCAATTCTTATTGCAGGAATTGGAATTCAATTTGATAGGATCTGGTCAGCAGATCGCATAACTTTTGTATCTTCTTTTGGAATTGATTAAAATGTATTTCAGAGAGGTACAGTGATTTCTTTAAGGTGGCAAGAGGTAGCGAACCTGTTTAAGTATGATGATTGTTTTGTTGTTACAGACTATCCTCTGTCTGGGCCCTTATAATCAGTTATGGGTGATGAGCTACCAAAATTCACTTCGTGTTCACATAACATAGAGAACAGTGTTGAGGTCTTACTGTGCACCAAGCACTGTGCTAAGGGTTTTCATGAAATACGTTCCGTCACACAACCACCTTTTCAATTCCATTTTAGAACTGAGAAAACGTGAGATTTTGAGAAATAACTTCCTCCAGATCACACACCTAATAAGTGGTGGTAATTCTCAGCCTTGGCTCTGCGTCAGAATTAACATCACTCCTGCAAATGTAATCAGCAGATGATTAAATTTTATATACAGTGTATGCCATAGATGACTTTTGTAATAAGTCTGACTTTAATTCCACAGAGCAGTTCTACTTCGTTTATATCATTGTGCAGTTTTTCAAATATCCAGTCTCCTGAAATGTAGATTCGAGCTTCCTGATTTTTTATCTCCCCCATCCATTTTCCCTAGATGTGTGTCCGTATTAATTATCTAAAATTTCCCTGAATTGTGACATGAAGGGTTCTTATCCTTGTTAAAACCAGATTTGAGGATTTGGGAAAGGGAAGTTTTGGCTTAATCAGTTTGTACTAAAGATGGTGAACTTCATTTAGGATTTGAGAGACAGTTTAGAAAGTGCGACTGGAGGAACTGATTGTCTCCTGTGAGGAAATGAATAGTCCTAATTCCTAGAGTGCTAGGATGGAGAAACTTTTACACAGGCTTCTTACAGAACCTGAAGCACTGTGTTTTTCATCGGGTCTACCTGATGAAAATTTAAGAATTGCTACTTAAATTCAGAACTTCTCCTGGAAATCAACCACTCTTGTGTGTGTGAGGCAGAGTTTCGCTCTTACTGCCCAGGCTGGAGTGCAGTGGCACAATCTCGGCTCACTGCAACCTCTGCCTCCAGGTTCAAGCGATTCTCCTGCTTCAGCCTCCTGAGTAGCTGGGATTCCAGGCATGTGCCACCACGCCTGGCTAATTTTTGTATTTTTAATAGAGACGGGGTTTCTCCATGTTGGTCAGGCTGGTCTCGAACTGCCGACCTCAGGTGATCCGCTGGCCTCGGCCTCCCAAAGTGTTGAGATTACAGGCATGAGCCACCGCGCCCGGCCAGCAAATCAACGACTCTTAATCTGTATCTAGTCATCCCAGTTTTTATGCCTTAATTTGTATTTTTAAACAGCTTTGTTAAGATTACATTTCGGGCCAGTCACGGTGGCTCACGCCTGTAATCCCAGCACTTTGGGAGGCCGAGACGGGCGGATCACTAGGTCAGGAGATCGAGACCATCTTGGCTAACACCATGAAACCCCGTCTCTACTAAAAATACAAAAAAATTAGCCAGGCGTGGTGGCAGGTGCCTGTAATCCAGCTACTGGGGAGGCTGAGGCAGGAGAAGGGCGTGAACCCGGGCGGCGGAGCTTGCAGTGAGCCGAGATCCGCACCACTGCCCTGCAGCCTGGGTGACAGAGCAAGACTCTGTCTCAAACAAAATAAAAAATAAAAAATAAAAAAAAAGATTACATTCCATCCATAAAGTTCACCCGTTTAAAGTTTGTAAGTCAATTATTTTTAGTATATTTACAGAGTTGTACAACCATTACAATAATCTAATTGTAGAACATTTTCGTCATCCCAGAAATAAACCTCATTACTGCCCCAGCAGCAGCCACCAACCAGCCTTATTTCCTCTCTATAGATTTGCCTATTCTGGACATTTCATATAAAAGGTATCATACTATATGTGGGTTCTTGTGAATTTTTTTTCATTCATTTAGCATAATAAAAAGGTTCATCCATGTTACAACATGGTACCAGTACTTTGTTCCTTTTTATTGCCATAAAATTCCATTGTATGGATAGACCACATTTTATTAATCTGTTAATCAATTGATGGGTATTTGAGTTTCTCCTTTTGAGGTATTATGACTAAAGTTGCTGTGAATATTCATATACAGTTTTTTGTGTGGACAAGTTTTCATTTCCCTTGGGTATATCTAGGTGTGTAATTGCTGGGTCATAGTTCGACTTTATTTGCATTTTAAAAAACATTTTAATTTAGTATTTAGTGATGATTTTGAAGAGCTAATTACTTATTTGATGATTTACATGCATTCCAATTGTTTGATGTTTCTTTTTATTTTTTAAAATAGAGACTGGATCTCGCTTTGTTGCCTAGGCTGTCTCAAATTCCTGGCCTCAAGTGTCTTCTGCCTTGGCTTTCCAAAGTGATAGGATTACAGGCGTGAGCTACCGTGCCCCGCCTCTTTGATGTTTCTGATGAAGACTGCTTGTTTTGTTTATTTTGAAGCGGGGTCTCATTCTGTCGCCTAGGCTGGAGTGCAGTGGTGCAATTATGGCTCACTGCAGCTTGGACCTCCCAGGCTCAGTTAATCCTCCTGCCTCAGTCTCCTGAATAACTGGGACTACAGGTGTTCCCATCATGCCTGGCTAAGATTATTCTTTTCAGCTAATGATTCCTGTGTAGAAATATAAGAATGAGTTCTAATTTGTTTGTTTGTTTTTTTTAACCTATTGTGGAGGACATTACCAGTCATTCATTCACCTTTTACTGTCAAAGTGTTTAACAGGCTTATAAAACTAGAGAAGGGAAGGGTAAGGTTTCATTTTTTTTTTTTAAATCATACTTTGTTGAGATTT